GAATACTGTGAATGTAGCCAGCCGAATGGACAGCACAGGAGTGCCCGACAGGATTCAGGTGAGTCTTCTTGGCACCTCTCCTCCTCCCTAAAACTTTTTTTCTCTCTTATGAGTATTTACACAAGCCACTAGTAGAAGTGAGAAGTAATCTATATGTACATTTTATGTATTCTACTTGGGGGTAGATATTTACCACCCCAAGCAAAAACTTTTAACCAAGCATACAAAATGTGGCAGCTGACACATCAGATGTGTCACTTCAGATCCATGTAACTTGTCCTCCTTTCTTACTTTACATATTTCATGTTTTATCCAGCTTAGTGATTCATCTCTGTGTTGGGGGTAGGGGGTGAAATATGAAGGAATCTATGTTATCATGTAATATGGAGTCCAGAACAGAGCTCCTTGTGAACCTCTGCATCTGTTTCTTCTTTTGTAAAACCCCCCGAGTATTTTCATGTTGTTCTTGCTGAGCAATAACCAGAAGATGGGATAATTCACCTTGCTCTGATCCAGAGATACATACCTATGTGATACTGTGCTTTGAACACTTAGCCACCTAGTATGTTATTCACGCAGTTATAGTCCACACTGTTTATTATCTCTTTGAGAGAGATGGCCCAATTTCAAGCTAACATGGATCATGCTCACAGGGTGGGAAGAGAATGGGAAACTTGATCCAGTCTCTTGTCCTCTACAACAGGTGATTGGCATTGTCAAAGCTGAAAAACAAGATACTGAGAGAAACCAAAATTGATAGATTCACCTATTCCTTCTCCTTACTCACATGTCTCTGACTTGCCATTGTCCTTTTAGGAGTCCAAGGGGACGTGTGAATACTATGAGTCTTTCTCTGAAATGATCTGAAATTCACTTTTAATGTCATCAGTCCTTTTTCTTATGGGTGCAATCATAGTAATTTTTAGTGAAATGACAGTGCTTCTTCCATCAGCGCTGCTTGAGAATACCAGACTTGTGTTGAATTGTGTCAGTTGCAATTTATTCAACTCTTTTCTGATCCATTCTTTTTTAAACTCCACAGGTGACCACAGACATGTACCAAGTTTTAACAGTCAACAACTATCAACTAGAATGCCGAGGGGTTGTTAAGGTCAAAGGTAAAGGAGAAATGACCACCTACTTCCTAAACGAAGGCCCCCCACTGGCAAGTTAACAGCAGTGGGCAAGAATGACTCAAGAATGGCTCAGTTTGACTTAAATACGACGAGTTGGTAAAAAAAATCTGCTGCTGCTTAGCAGCGAATCTAATACCAAGGCACAGTTGAGTATTTCATATGATGCCTTCCTAGCAGGAGTGTGTGCAAGAAGTGGGGGAGGGGGGGACACAGTTTGGGCTATGTGGCACACCATTCGGAAGTTACCTAGCACTGCTGTGGATTTTTTCTAGGTTGAGTGTAAATGAATTGACCAAAGATTTTTTGCTGAATGGAATTCGAAATGAAGACGTGGATTTGAGATCTTCAGTGAGGCTGCTACACAGGACTTAAGATATTTAAGTATTTATTTGAAGCAACACAATGTTTTTTACTTGGTTGAAGGAAAGTTTGATTCATTGCAACAAAAGGACAAAAAGGAACAGCATTACTCTGGAAAGGCTGTGCAGTCCCATAGTATTTCTGGTCTATGCTGTTAACTCCTTGAAGTGTGCCACTGTTCTCTTATTAGCTGTTTGAGTGGACTTTTGAAATTAAAAACACCACCCACGATTGCTCTACAAAAAGGGCCTTTTTTAATGACATCACCAGTAATGGTTTTTTAATGGAAAAGATGCCTTGTTATGTACTCTTGCCATCCCTACCCTTACACAGATAGGAGGTTCCTTCTTTTTACCAGAACTGATATACTGAAAGCGAAAGGAGAGAAATAGTTCTTAAGGTGAGGGGGAAATGATGCTTCAAGCATATTTATTAAATGAGGAGGCCTTCTCACTTCTGTTCAGCATATTTTGGTTTACACATGAAAGACTAGCTGCCAACGTGAAACACATGGAGAAACACAGGGAGATTTCTCTGAAATGTGTAGGGTTGTTGGTTTTGAGGTGCAGTTTTTTGTATTTTTTAATATGGAAGATTATGAGATCTAAGAAACACACCAAAATTCTATATTTTGAACGTTCTGTGTATTAAACAGTTGCCCCAATGGAGCAACAGCGATCTATGTGTAGCTCTGTTGTAGTGAAGTTCACAGAACAGCTGTTTGAAGGAGACTCATATCCAGAACTGAGCACCCAGCAAAGCACCTGTCAACTGTTAGGCAGGACAAGAGCAGGGGCACCTTGACACAATCATGACTCCCTTATCAGGCAGTCAGCTCTTGACACAGAAGCTGATAGTCACAGTTAGGAAGAAGGGAACGAGCACCCAGGCTGAGTTCAAGCACTGTCGGAAGGTTGATCAGGGCTATGGGATGTTTCTGCCCTGCAGCTCTGTTTGTCTCCATGAGTCCAGCAATGGGTGTGAAGTCTTCTGCTGAGCTCACAGTTCTTTGGATCGGACGCCAGGTACATTGGGAGGTGTACATAAGCTATAGAATTGTGTGATATTCTTTTCATTATCTCCGAGTTGCAGACTTGGCAGTTTTCAAATAAATATTGTACAGTCCAGCAAACAAGCTGAAGTAATAATAATAATGCAGGGGCTCAAGTTTGATTTTTTAAAGAGGAAATAAAGTGAGGAAAACCTACAGTTAGACAGAGATGAAATAGGAAGAATGAGAACAGCTGTGCTCATTCCTAACGTCAGAGGGAGCTGAATGCAATAGGTAAATTGTGTATTCAAAATTCTGAAAGTTATTTGACCAAGGGTATTATGCCTGAAGCCACTTCAAGTGTGCCTCTGGACAGTAGCATAAGAGGAACAACAATCAAATCAAGAATTTCTTTTTGAAAGAATGTTTACAGTTTATGTAACAACTGCCTGTACAAGTAAGTGCCGCTGAATATTACCTAGAAATTTTACTCTTCTGGATTGATATTGTGGGAGCTGAATTCCATTTCATATATTATGAATTTCAGTTTGAAGACTTTGGCAAGTTTTTTTTCCATAATAAAACATACGTATTGATTGATTCTCTAAAGATATTGATGTGGCCTATTCTCCTGAACAATACTTATTTTTTAAAAAAGAGGGGGACTGTTAATAAATGTATAAGTGAGTTAAATACATTTTCAACTTTTAAAATCAAGGTCCCCTTCATATTTTATTAAAAAGTATAAAAGCATAAAAACCTATATTTTTATATTTCAGTAGGGGAAAACTTTTGATATTGAATTTGGCAATTTCAAAAATGACTCAAACATTTTGACACATACTTTTTCCACTCTTCTCAGGGCAGAATTTCCATTACCTAATGATTACCCAGCACTGGCAATTATGACATTGGCGAGGGGGCGGGGGTTAGTGTCACCTTTGACAAAAAAATAAGGTAAAATCCATGGTCTCAGTGATATGTGTAATATTGCTATTAAACTGTTTCAGACTAGAGTGTCAGTAGCATCCCACTTTCCTTTCATCCCCTCCCTTTCTACTAGGGCACACCCTTGGATAGTATAGTTGCCGGATTCCTAGAAAACTGCCAAGTCTGTCCTTGTACTATATTTTTGAACCTTTTCAAGAAATGCCATTTGATTTGCAAAGGTCTTTATTTACACAGTACTGCAGCTTGTTCTTCATCACCTTCCACCCTTCATTCTTACCGTCATTTACCACTTCCAAATTTTAATTAATAGCACAATATAGGATCATTTTGTTTTAGGTTTGCCTCCTGCTTTGAAATGTGCATTCTTAACATTTGAGCAGACCACCTTGCGCAATTGTGTTGTCAATTCAGTTTTCAGTTACCTGTATCTCTGACTGTGATTGATGACTGTGTCAGGATCATTTCAAGGGGTATGCAGTCTTTTTTCTGGCTCTTGCAAAAGGTGATACAGTTATGATTTCCCATGGAAATTGCAATCTGTTTAAGTAATTTAACAATTATATTAAAACACTGTTTCACTTGTGAATGTTTCTATTTATTCATTAGAGTCTGGTTTGTTTTTTAAAAGCTACAAAAGTAGGAATGTAATTTAATGTTTTGTGGCGGGAGTGACAATAGAATTTTGTGCATCACAACGGTATGATTCATCAGTTCAGTAAGGGCAGCTCCAGACTTGTGTAACTTGTCCCAACAAATAGTCCTGCTCACGTATGAATTTCTGGATGATATTTTGTGCCTGCTGCATCACAGAAAGAAGAGAATGGACTTTGTACAATGGTTTCTCTTCACTTCTCTGTGACTGGATGAAAAATGGTAAAATATTCAGATGACTACAGCGAAGGTGGTTATTAATCTCAGCCCCTTGGTTCTAAATGAAGGAGCTGATTGGGATATTTCATTTGTATGTCAGATTCAACAAAACTGTATTTTAGGGAGAACTTTGGCAGCTGGAAGCAGTAGGCTGTGGTCTAGTCCTACTCAACTAATTGAGCTAGTAGTTTTGTGTGTGTGCACAGGAGCATAGCCATCTGCATTTAAATACAGGTCTGCGTAATTTAGTACAGATGAGCAACGTGGTGCAGAATTGGATTTACGTAGAAGTGCCCAATTCAGTCTGTGTTACCTGTGCATGTAAAGGAGCCTTCACCCACATATGGATCTCTTTCACTGGAATGGTAAGTCTCTTCTGTTTGAAATTACGGTGCTTGGCTGTATATTGTTAGGATAAAATATTCTGAAATCAACTGGTTATATTTTCCGATCACTGTAACATGTTTTCTTCTGTTTTAAGATAATAACACAGGTGCCCAATATCTCTGAAGGTAGTCTCTAGATATTGGGAGGGAAGGTTGCTGGCTCAACAATAAGGGAGAAACTCATCCTGAACTCATATTGAAGTCATCAGTGGGGTCCCTGCATGCTGCTTTTCCTTGTGCTAGTCCCTGTTAAGGTGAGTGGGGAAAGCAGACAGGCAAATTGCCCTTAGTTGTTAATTTTGCAAGCACAGTGGTGGTCTCCAGCACAGATGAGGAACATTTTAGATGTTCCATGCTAGCTAAGAGTATGGTCATGAGCGCGATTTGCACTTAGAAAGCATGGGAGCCATTACATAACACAACATTAGGGGGATTGCTAGATATATCTTTTCAGTTAGGATAATTAAATCATTTGGTATTGCATAACTCTCAGCATCTTTCCTAATTCCGCGCCCCCCCCCCATTGGGCTACAATCCAGCACAGTCACTTAATGGGACTTACGATAGATAACACTGTGTTCTGTGATGGGATTTTTTTTAATCCTTAAACAAATTCTGCTAGCTTTTCACCCTTGGATTGCGTGCCTGCAATATGCATCTGTAAGCATGTCAGTGCTTCTAGTCACATGTATGAAATCCAAGATGACTTCTTTTTGGAGAAGTCAGAGCCTCAGCAAAGTTGCATGCCCTGAACATCTTCATGCTCAGCCCTTGGCTATGACTCTTTACAGACATGAAAGTATTTAGGGCAGGCTCCAATTGCCTATAGTGCTAGCTGTATCCACCACCCCACAGTATATATCATTAATGTCCCAATCTTGAAGTGTTGGCTGTGATAAACACCTTCATTTAAAAAAATCCACAAAGACCCCCGTGTAAGTTGCAGTGACCTCACTTCAGAAGTCTTGACCATCTTATAGCTGCTTCTGCATTTATTTATACAGCACTTTTATTCTACAAAGCACTTTACATTTTCATTGAAATGATCAATATTCCCATTTTGCAGCTAGGAAACTGATGCCCAAAGTCATCATACGCAGTGTCCCATGGCAACCAGAGTGAGTCTTTCCCTCATTTGGCAGGAGGAGTTCCTTTACTTATATTTTAAATTATCATGAAGGTAAAGAAAACATAACATACAAGAACAGCAACTAGACTAGGGCAACTGGAAGACCCAGTTTAGGACTCTTTGTATGCCTATCATGATAAATGAAGAATTTGTGTGTATCGTTATTAACGTTTGGGTCTACAACAAATATACTTGGGCTACTTCACACATTACTTGCATGTGGTTTCAAAATAATGTCTGACCTCCAGATCTAGGGCCTGATCTACCTCTACCCACACCCCCAATAAGCTTCATCCATTTTGGCAGCAGTGGCAGAAAGAAAAAAATAGACCTATTACTACAGTGGGTAGAGCTCACCACTCTGATGTGGGTGCAAATCTCCCTAGAAATCATTTGATGAGCAGGGAGAGGGTGATTAACCCTTCCTCTGCTGATCTATGTAGATGATGGAGCGCTTATGTGTACATGCAATGGTTTTGGGTGGCCACTGTCCAGAAGTTAGTCAAGGGTGAAAATTGCCGCTGGGACAAAAACATTCAGCCACTTCTGGGGTACAGCATCTAATTCGAGGGCAGGGGTGTTCCAAGTAGTGCGGGAGTATACCGATTGGGTAGTCTCTGCCCACTCACTATTGTCCTATAAAATAATGCTTTAGAAGTTATTGTAGTGCGTAAAGCAGCTTAGGATTCATAGTAAAACTAAGACTAGACAATCTTACTGCCTACAGAAAAAAACTACCACTTGTGTGTAGGTGACATCTTACAATTAAAGACTAGGAGGATCATAAAACATTAGAGATGTGGTAGGTAGGACAATATAACTTCAGTCTGGCATCATCGCTTTCTTGCTAGAATCTCTACAGAAAGTTTTCACACTGAAAGCTTGTGCCTAGATCAGTGGGAGTAGATTGTAGAGTTTATTAAATGCAAGCATAAACATAGAACAGGCTTCTCTTGAATCTTAAGTTTGTCTCTGAACCCCCAGCTGCTAAAATCCGCACAAACCCTGAACGACTTTTATCTGGACATGAGGAAACTTCTGCAACTACCTTCATTGCGAAGGCATTTTGTTCTCATGGCTGCTACTTAACATACAGGATGCAATGCAATCCAGCAGGTTTACTTTTCTCATTAAGGTGAGATTAGTAGGGTTGTATCCAGTCATAATCCTCAAAATGAGGAAGGCTCATTGAGTCAGCAAAGGTGGTCATAGGGAAGGAAACATGGGTGTCCCCCCCAATCTCCCTCCCTGCAGCTAACCCAAAATCTGCTCCAGAGGGTTAGAGGAGGGTGGAAATGAATAACCATCACCCTCCCTCATTGGTCTGCTGATGGCAGGCTATTTTGGTCCACTGTGGGATTCTGTCAGGTTGCTCACCTCTTCTACAATAGATCTGTTGTCCACAACCAGTACTTTTAATTTCCTTTGTTCCCAGAACAGTTTTCTTAGACAATTAAATTAAAATTAGTAGAAGTTAGGCTCTTTCCTAGATGAGGCTAGTCAACTTCTTTTCATCCTTCAAGCATTAGAGAAAAGCATTAGAGATTGCTATTGGGGCTGCAGAAGAGAGAGGTCACTTTCCAAATTTCTTTCAAAGCAAATTACACAGAAAAAGTTGGGGAGGGGTAGAAACAAAGCAATTCAGAATGAGCACTGCACTAGATGGTAGGCCTTTGGGGCCCAGGAACTAATCCCCATGAACAGATGGTTCTGGGTTAGATTTTAATTAAGGAAAATGCAGACACACACCATTAAACTTATGTGCATCCAATAATCTCGCATTTAGAAATTCATTCATATTGAACAGTTTGTTAATATGCAACACCATCCTTTTATTTCAGCCTTTTCTACTATCTCACAAAGGCAAACCTGGTATGGGACTGAAGGAATCACTTGATATGCAGAACAAGCTCCTTGCCATTTTCATACTTCTGGATGTGGAATTTTCATGCTGCCCCTCCAAACTTCTCACGTTGCCCTTGAGGTACATTCTCCTGCACAGGGTTTTCATTTGTCCCGCAACAGGGTCCTGAACCATTTCCAGCTCTTCTTTGAAGAAGAATTTCTCTGTCATTAATGCCCTAAACTATGGGAAGCGTCTGTCTTGCAGAAAAGTGTTTCATTCCTGAGAGGAATACTGCTTGGATCAAGTTTGCCTTGAGACTTGCTGGAGGACAACCATCACACATTGTAATCAGGGGCCTTCCCTTGTGGCTGCCTCAGTCGGATCTGTAACGTTGAAAAAGCGCTCACAGTCACATGAAAAAAGATCTGCCAGAGGTTGCGTAGTTCATAGAGATACATGTTGCATAGGCAGATTAAGCCAAAACTTAGGAAGGATTTGATGTTCCGCCAGCCTGTGCAATACACAAACAGATAGCACTGCAAAGGGAAAAAAAGTCACAAGGATGTAAGTAACCTGTTGAATTGTCTCATATTTCTATAGCAAGCGGCATCCAGCTAATGTGCCAAGAGACTTCTTTCATACCTTTCCACTCAACAAAGGTAAGAAGGGGAGTGCAAATGTTACCTCCACAGTGTGAGCTCCCGTGACAAAAGCTATGGCTTTCAATTTAAATCTACTATTTGCTGTGGCATTTTAATATCTTATCAAATTACCGTTGCCCAAAATTTGTGCACTCTAGTACAACCCTACCATAGGTGGAGGTATGATCCAATTTCTGAACATCTGTCCCGGCCCCCTGCATCTTGGAGATGCAGTTGAAGTCTACACAAGAGTCTTCTATGAGCCATATGAATCTTGTATAACCTCTTAAAAATAATAAATATTTAAAATAAATAAAATACCACAGCAGCTGAAAGTAAGCTGCCTGTTACCAGCTATTTTGATTAAATATTACCTGAAGCAACAAATATCTCCACTAAGAAGATACAATATGCTCTTGCAGGAAAGTTAGCATAATAAGCTTACCTGCTTACTGCATGGCCATAAAATCATTAATGAAAATACAGAAATTTTCAGCAGGCCTGTGCAGAGGGTGTGGGTGACCAGGTACACTGAGCCTCAGGGTCTTAGCCAGGGGCCTCCACCAAGGACCAGGTGCTTTTTTGTTTGAGTTTATAACTTGATTCTAACAATACTCTGACCCTGGGCCTCAGACAACCTCTGCATGCTAAGAAATCTTAACCAAAACATGCAGGCAACAATCTGTCATTCTGTCCCATAAATTCCAAAATAAAAGCCCAGTTTGACTTAAGTTATGCCTCATCATGGACTAGTTTGTGTGATATTATGAGATAGCATCTGTGGGGAGGGGCAGAAGACGTTTCATATGCAGAAATTGCCAGATAGGGCTCAGATAGACCCTGGAAAAGCAGGGCCAATCTGTGGATACACTAACAGCTCCACAATAGGCCCAACCACCTTCAGTTTTCCCTGCCCAAAATTCAGATACTTATCTATTGTGACAATGTGGGGGAGTCAAGCCTCTGTTGCAATCCACCAGCTACGTACTTTGTAGACTTCAATGCAAATGCCTACAAAGGTTAAACGAGTTGCAGTACAGTTCACCCACTACCAACTGAACTCAGAAGGAAACTTTGAAATAAATCTATTCACACTCAACTAATTTTGGAAGGTATGAAAAAACATACCCTAAGTCAGAAAGGGATTACAACTTTTAAAAAATCATTCAGACTTGTAAGAGGAAGATCCTACCTGATATAAACAAGCTGCTGTGCCAAGGAAAAAGGCAATAACATAGCTGAGGTCCTCTCTGTCGTTCTGGGGAAAAAATTGGTCTCCTTATTTAGTAACCAAAGTGTCAGCCAAACAGCCAGCACTTAGGTCATGATAAATGCAAGGCAGTAAAACACATTTAACTGCATTGCTTAAGTAATAATAGCTAAATAGGTATGTCTACATTCATTTAGCAAAAATCAAGTGAGTATTGCCATCTGTTCACCATCAAATTAATGTTATTTTGCATTTACTGAAATTGGTATCTGAAATATTCCCACTGGACCACTTTTTCCCCAATGTACAACAGCTATCATTGGGGGAAAACTCTTCCTCTCTTTAAATGCAGATCAGCAGAGATCTCATTTTAAGACCAAATGGGGTACATGCGTGACAAGTGCTAAACTCCTCCCCCCCCCATCCATTTTTTATCTCCCTGCAGCCTGTCCCTGCCAATCTTGATTTTTCTCTAGCCAGACTAAGTAGAAACACTTGGAAATAAAAATTCAGGAGACAGACTATGAAGAGGAAAGCTAATGTAGGGCCTTAGCATCTCTCACAAATGTGCCCCTTTTTCTCTTAAAACAAGCAAAATGTCCAGCCCATTTTCAGCGATTGCCACAGATCAACATTTAAAGAGACTGATCTGCTGCCATCACATGCATCCACTAGATGGTGCTCAGCTCCTGCAAAGTAAAAAATAAACGGGTAATGAAGAAAACCCACAAAGAAGTATTTACACAGATGGCGGCTAAATATTATACAATATACTTTTTCCTTAAGTTGTAATATCTAACAGTTGTATGAGCAGGAGCTTTGGATCTGGGAGATATGGATTTTGGTTTGTTTCTCACATTATAGAAAACCTGACTTACCAGAACATGTGTGCACATAACAAAAGCAATTGTTATACACAAGCAACTATTTCTTAACTGAAATATGAGTTCCTTATGAGAAAATGAAAAGACAACAATGGCTGTTGAAGACCACTTTCAAAAGGAAGAACAATAAAGACTAGAATTGCATGCAAATCAGAAGGTTCTTCAATGATAATGGGAAAGGTGTAATTTCTAACTGTAATCTGTGGGCAATTATAGAGTACAAGTCAATATAACTTTATGTTACATGCTTAGTGGAATATTGAAAAATGAAACAAGACCTCAAGGACATCTCATTTGTTATAACCGTTGCATGGGTAGTAATAACATTCATATATTACTTTCGTATTATATTATAATTTAGTATCCTGAGCCAGAAGAGAAACCCAGAATAGTCTGTGTATAGTTCAAAATGACTTTTCAAAAGTGTATTTTAAATTTCACTGAAAATATTTACATTTTAATTGAAAAGAAAAAGTGATGCAATTCATCTGAAATGGGACTGGAACTCACACCTGCCATTTAGCTCAGCTGGTTAGAACATGGAACTGATAACTTCATAAGGGCCAGCTGCAAATTCCTGCATTGCAGGGGGTTGGCCTAGAATCCTCCGAGTCCCTTCCAAATCTATGATTCTAGGAGCTCCCAATGTGTAGTGCAGTCCTCCAAAACATTTTCCCAGAGTGGAGAACATAGGAAAGAACAGTTCTAACTAGTGCGTCCAGAGCTTTAGCTTGGATTGCTGTAAGTGAACAGTAGAACTTCCCAGATCCTTCTCTCATCATCTTTCTATGATCCTCTCAATACAGAATGTATTTGCAGCAATCCTGTGTTCTAAAGCGATTCACTGAGAGAAGGTACTCCATCATGGATTTCCCTGATGCAAGAGAACAGTTCACTGGCCATGTGGATCAACATCCCCACAGAAAGCTGCTTGTCCCCAAACAACCTGTCACATGATTCAGTGCTATCACACTGAGAGCTTCCTCCACCACCAGCAATGAATGTCATTGACATCCACGGCAGGCAGGCAAACTCACCATGTAAACGGCCCAGAAATGATGGGGTGGTCAGAAACACACCAGAGAAAACCTACTTCTGTTGTAAAGTTTAATAGCTAGACCAACTCAAAGAATCTTATTAAAGTCTACATGTAAAACATTCTGGACTTCTCTACTGGCTCAGCTTCCCTACAAAAAAAAAGCTAGTGACACAGGTCTGAAACATGTCAGTAACAGAAAGATATATTGCTCCACCAGCTGAGATGTCAAACAGCTTAGCTCAGAAGGACAAACCCAGCCTGCAGGCCATAGTTGCCAGCCCTCTGTGGGAAAAGAGGAGTTTCTCCTTATCCAAACAATATTCAGAGAGTGATTTAACTCTACCACTTATTGCAAGAGCATTTTTAAAAAAGAAATTGATAGGTAAGTCTTCCAAGACTGGGCTTTTGTTTTCCCCTGCTACAAAGTCATAAACATTGCTACAGTACCTGCAGAAGACTCTCTATGGCATGAAAACCACGAATTAAATTCAAAGCCCCACATAAAAGGCTGAGTAGAAAGGAAACGATCCCTGACAGAGTCACAGGTTCCAGTCGCTGGTGAGGGGCTGGAAGGCAGAGGGGAAAAAACACTTATCAATATTTAAAGATGTGTTCCTTAATGTTTGAGCCAAAAATGTTAATGCTATTTTTCAGTGTCTTCCTGCTCAAGATTCTGTAACTTAAACGAGAAAATACTCATAAGCTTAAGAGACTCCTCCATTTTGAACTGAGTACGTGCTTAGAGAATATATAACAGCAAGCTGAAGAAGCATAACTTCACAGAGCACATTGGAAAAAATATATTTTGCAAGAGCAAAAACTGAAACTCTCCAAGGCCTGGTTAAAAATAAGTTTTGAACTAATGCACCCAAGTTCTTCAGTATTAGGCTTAGATTGTGGGAGCACAGCTGTAAATTTCCAAAATGCAGAACGAGCTGGTGAATTTAGTCTTCAATTAGCCACTGAGTAGTTAAGTCTCACCCTTGAAATAGGGCTCTCAGAGTTTGCTTTTCTGCTCTACTAATGCATAAGTTACAGCTCTTAAAGAATGATTTATAGCTGACCCTAAACATGCTTACTCAGAAGTAGGGGCTCAATGGTACTTACGTGCAAGTAAGTAAGTGCACAGAAGTTGACAGCCTGGTCCTTTCCCATATTTTTAAATGACAGCAATGTGGAATATTACAAAAAAATGAAAAGTAATATACCCATAATTGGTATTCTAGGAGGCAAGGAATGTGGTCCATTCATCTCCTAAAAGTCTTCCAAAAACTATTGTCAGTTTAGCCTTCTCCAGCACTTTTAGCCCCTTAATCAGACACTCCTTTGTTTCTCACAAGGAAGTCCAATTGATCCTAATGGACTTCCTCCCAAGTAAATGTACATAGGCATAGTGCCTTAGTGTATTTGCCAAATGGGCACTGTGAAGCAGAAGGAGAGGTAGGCTAAGTATGAAAACTTCTAGCTTCACTGGCAGATCCACAGAGGGGCCCACTGCACAATTCTCTTACAAACTATATTGACGCTAAAAGATGCGGAGGAGGTGGCTGAAAGTAAGCATTTATGCAGACATTCAAAGGTGCTACTGGAGAGCCAATGGTACACACAAATGTCTGCCAATTCATAGTGAATGTGTGTACAAGCAGTTACTGTGCTATTCCGCAACAAGTGACAGAAAATGAATATGAAAAAACAGGGCAAAATCCACAGTAGTCTAGGCAACACAGAGAGAGTGACAATGAGGTTACTGAACCATATTTAAATCATTCTGTTTAAATCAGTGAAGTGTAAAGGTGCCAACAATGAAGTTAATGAGCTGGAACATTAATATTGAGAGGGGTGTCATTCCATGTTGTTTGCATTGAACAGCTGCAGCAGAAAAAGGCTCTCCAAAGCAGTTCATAAAGTCAGAGAAAGCACAGCAGCGACAAAGGGAATTTCTCCAGAAGAAGAAAACTAGACTGTGTGAGCATCATTGTTTCCAAACTCTGGAAGGAACACACTAATCTGTGACCAGTTTAGCTGTTGTTTGGAAGAAACATGTTTTTTAAAAAATACAGATTTCTATTCTGCATGTATTTTACTCTAAAACAAACATGTCGGAATAAACAGATTATATGAAGTAACAATTTCCATCAAACCTCAGTGAGCTTCATAGTTAGAGACTGGCTTCCTCCCTACATTCACGTCCATCGTTCTAATCCAGAATCACATATTCTAGAGACAAGTGAAATTTTGCAGTGGCTTTTTACTTATATTCACAAATTCAAGCTTGTTGATTGTTACAAGAGTGGAATAATATGGTGGAGCCATTAGCAAGACCTCAGATTTAGCAAAATTTTAGGATCAAATTAGATATGTCATTTGACCTTGAGGGAAACAATGGGACCTTTCCTCCCACTGCAAACTGAAGGTGCTGTGTTGTGGGTGGGAGAGATTCTAATCAGGAAAGCAGCAGGGGCAAAGGATTAAAGTAGTCTCTCCATGCCACAGTCCTGATCCAGAATAGGCCCATTGCAATGCCCATTTATTTTATTTTAAGACAGGCTAAACAACAAGAATGACATCTAGTTTGGTCCCAAGATTTACAAGACTGGTATAAGCAAATTGCTCCAGTTTTGAACCTTCCAAGCAAAATTATGTTTAAGGAAACAAACTCACCTGTAGATATTTTCCCAGTACCTTTGTATTCTGGAAGAGGTACATGTGGATACCCATTGGCTGAACCCAATTCAGACAAGGAAATTTGATAAGGTGGTCTCAGCCTGATTTCCGTCTGCATGTCAGCAAGGTTTATCTTTGTCGACAGAGACCGTGGGTTGTTATATCTCTGCTTGGTTCTCTGAATGAAATTATCTGTGTAAAATTAAAACAAAACCCCCTTAGACATATGTTAATAAAATCATCTGAGACCCCATGGCTTTATGGGCAATATAAGTCTCTGAGACACATTTAAATTCATTATTTGGAATTCTTACATCCATTGTGGAAGGTTTTAATATTGTTGCTACTTTCTAACTAATATATCATGGGCTAATTAATTTTGCAGCACCAAAAAATTAAGCACTAGGAATCTAATTATAAATAAACTAATGACTCATGCACTGACAAGCCTGAAAGTAGGGCTAATATAATTAATGAATTGCATTTTGTTTAGCTTTTCATGCAATTCAGAATATATTCTTACAAAATAAAACAATAGCTTGTTCTGAAAACAAGCCTGTTTTACTTCGACACACATAATATGAGAATTAACAGCATCCATAATGATGAACTTTCTTTCCCAACAAAAGCATACGACTATACATACGTAAGAGCAAAATACGTGCTTAAAGGGGAAAGCCTACAGGCTTCTTCATTTTCGACATATTCTTAGGGCATCTGGAATCTAACAAATTGGGGGAATCCCCAGCACAGCACACAGGGGGAGGAGAGGAGGGACTGTTGCATCTGGCAAGCTGAAATGCTTGCATACAGAACATATCTCATACATAACACAACAATGAATTCCACCCTGTGATTCCACAAAAAAATAATAATATCCTTCCTGGTTGTGGCATCACCTCTGCCTCCCTTCCTAGGAAGACCTACCTAAACCCACCACTTCAAAATGTCATTAAACAGGTGAAAGCTCTCTTTTGTTTTTGTAAGGTGCTAGAAGAACGGGCTATATATCACAGTAAAGGTTTGTGGCTAAAACAGTGGTTATGTTTAGATTTTAACTGCTAATTTTATTGTGTCAGCTGAGTAATAATAATAAAAATGCTTTTTGTAAGCCACCTTGAACACTTTGGGGTGGAAAGATATGTTACAGTTATATATATAAGATCTAAAACAAGTCCATCATTAAAGAAAGTGGTGAATCCTCTTTACCGAACTCAATGAAACAGTATGGTCTAACAGCTGTATTTGTCTTCATCATGTTGTATGTGGTGATGAACTCCTTTTGAAGCTCATCCAGGAAACAGAAGGCCAGGACACTGGGGTAATTTTCAGTGCAGAGCATCATGTAACTCACTCCCAAGGAACTAATAAAACTACAAAACAAAACAAAAAACATTTTAAAATGTGTTTAATGTTTCAGAATTAAATTCATGCATCTACAGCTTGACTAGAGCAGCTCTCTGTGCTGTATGAACAAGAAAAATGGCTCTGAGTGTAATGAAAGCATCAATATTCATGAGAAATTGTAACATTGTTTTCAAGAGGAAAGGGTCCCGGGTGTGTCCCACCACAAGTAAAAAGTAGAAGAGTACAAGGATTTTTCCTCTCTAAAGTGGGAAGAAGGAAACAGATCAAAGAGGGCAGGTGGCTTTCCCCTCTTTAACCTCTGAATGTTTTAATTATTGGTTGTGCATAAAAGGACATCTTCATTCCAAAACCCAAAACGAGAAAGCTCTTCAGAATTATTTTTATGAGCCAGAGAATGAAATCCTGCCCTAGCAATGATGCTTCTTCGTCAGTATTCTGTGATGGCATTACAGGAACTCATCAGAAGCTGGAAAACTCCCCAGATCTAATTGAAATTCTGGCATATGCTTACACTCTTTATTTATTAAACATTCTGTTAAAACACTGCATTAGTTCATCATTCCTTGTGCAATTCAAAACAATAATTCTAGGACAATTTTAGGTGCATACTGTACATCTGACACTTTAAAAATAATTAGACTGATATACTGATATACTAAACACCAGAGATTTATCAAGAGTACTCAGGGAAGTTTATTTATAAAGGTCAGTGCCAGAAATGTACACATCAGATAATAATACGAATTATCTAATTTTGAACTGTGAATATTGATTCTCTCCCCAACTCCATTTGCATCTACTTACAAATAATTCATTCCCCATTTCGTCTAGGGCCCACTTAATTATTAAGATCATGAAACACACAAACTGTAGCGCGCACACAAACTCATTTCAAATAAACCATTCCAAAGTATGGTTTTGGTACAAGAAAAATGAAGGCAATGAGAAAGGCTTGAAATTTATGTTTTCAGCTTAAAGATACACATGGTTTTATGGCTGCTGTACACTGCTGTAATTTAATCCAGATAAACATAGTCCATCTAGGTGAGCATAAGGCATGCTGGGTTTTTCTATAACCTATTGGACAAAAAGAAAGCACTGCCAACAAACTCATGGTCTTAGACAGAAAATATATTGAAGTCTGTAGGAAAATGAAAGAAAAACTATGGGCAGGAGTGAGCCAACACTCAGCAGGTGAAGTCCCAACTGATATGCTTCAAAAACTAAAGGTAAACAACCAATGGAACAAAATGGCATAATGTGCTATGACATCACACTACTGCTCCCACCATGTGTTCACAGCATATTTTGCCCCATTAGATTCATTTCATAAACACTTCAAAGGAAAAGCATATCTGTTTCCAGAAGGGTAGTCCAAGGCTTGGCTGCCTATGATATACTAGGGTTTATGTCAGGCCACTATATCAAGATAATCACTTGATTTGCCTTCTGATTAGTCTGCCGTTATATGCCTTATACATCCACCCACATGGTTCAGCCTGGACACTGAGATCCAGCACCGAGGGCCTTCTGGCAGTTCTCTCACTGCAAGAAGTGAAGCAACAAGGAACTAGGCAGAGGGCCTTCTCGGTAGTGGCTCCCACCCTGTGAAATGCCCTCCCACCAGATGTCAAGAAGATGAGTAATTATATATCTTTTAGGAGACATCTGAAGGCAGCTCTTTTCCTATGTTTTTATATGTGCTGGAAGCCACCCAGAGGGGCTGGGACAACCCAGTAAGATAGGCAGGATGCAAATTATTGTTGTTGTTGTTATTATTATTATTATTATTATTATTATTATTAAGCAATACTGAAACAATATTTATTTTACTGTATAACAATTAAAATTTCATTACAATTAAAAACTGGGGAGCATTGAAGAGCTACATAAAACAGATTCTCTCCCCACAAAAATGGGGATCCGAACAGACAAATTTAAAATAACTAGAAGACTGGCAGAAGAAAAATGTCTTAACCTCTTGTTTTAAAGATATCAGAGATGGGGCCAGTCTAACCTTCTTTGGGAGGAAGTTCCACAGTTGAGATGCTGCCACCAAAAAGGCCCTGGCTCATGGCAGTGGAATGCAAAACAGGATCTCTGAGGATTACTACAATTTATGTGCGTACATATATGAGGAATGAAGCAGTTGTACAAATGCCTTCATATTTAAGATTTATGAAAATACATCATCATTTAAAGCTAACCTAGTTCCCCCCCAAAAGCAAATAGTTGTTTCACTCCCTATTATAGCAGCCAACAGTTGTATGTGAAACAAGATAAAGTCCCAAATAAAACTTACTTTAGGTTATACAGTCCTGCATGAAGTGTGCATCTATCAGGAAGCTGAGAAAGTCTCTTTGCAATAGTTTTGAAGTATTTTTGGCAGTCCTGCACACCAACGTTTTGCTCATAATCAGTAGAAGCAGATAGAGGGAGTCCATCTCTCACACGGACCACCGAGGCAGACAGGATCATGGACATTGCCAGCAGGCACAAGGAAAATCTGAAACAGAACATACATATAGAGTTTGATTTACCTTTGCTTTCATTCACTACATTTCCAGTAAGTGTATTTCAGGGTTCTAGTAAAAATCCCTGGTTCAACCTCTGAGAATATCCCATCTGAAACTCTGGAGTCCCACAACCAGACAGTGTACTATACACAAAACTGAGCTAGTTGGATCTGACTTCCTATGCACCTAATCCTATTTCTTATATTCATATGGCATTTAGCAAACCATCACAAAAGTAATTCTGTCTCCACAACTGGGGGAAGAAGAGCAATCACAAATTGTTCCAACCACAAAACTGCATCACCACTGAAATATATATAAGTGGGCCCTGCAACAAAATGTTGTAAAGTGTTTCTGTACAATATTCCAGCCAGCCATAGCCTCATCTAGGCTGCTCTATTCTGTTTCACCCACTTTTCCATTCACTCACTCACTCACTCACTCACTCAATGAGTGACCACTAAGCATACTCAGCCTTAACTGAACTGTTTTGTGGAGACTGAATGTTCCCTAAGAATTTTTTGCTAAAGACTTTTGTATGTCTGCAAACATTGGGGTTCTCCTGAACATGCTGGTGCCTCCCCTCCTGTTTCACAGTGTCCTTGCTTTGGCTGTCATCCTGCTTGCATTCATTTATAACTCCTGCAACAAATATTGCAGTGTGGAGTGCTCTTGTTCTAGCCAGCCAATCAATCATGGCCTATTCCAGAACAGTCCATTCCACTTCCCCTCCGCACTAGTTTGCATTCCCCAACTCCAGCCGTCAACCAGCATCGCATGGTACACTGAGCTGACTTAGCCTCCCTCCTTTAAACACAGAGCCTGCCAATACCTTCCTCTTTTGCTTTTGGGGGCTACATAAGTTGGAGAATGAGTTTGCTCTTAGCATATGGGATTTGCTCCTAGCTGGATATTATTCCTAGCTGTGAGATATATGATACTTCATAATATGTGGAAAACAGGAAGAGCTTATTAAAACATTCATAATGCAGAAGGTATCTCTAGTAATAACTCATAGCAGGCATTTAAAATGCCTACTAGGCAGTCTTTTTGTAAAATATCCCAAACTGTAATTAAGAAACATTCAAGTTTCTCTTTAAAGTACTCATAAAACTAGGAGAGCATTGTGAAACTTACCAAACAGAATGCTTTTGGTATCTACAGACTCCCACAATTCCACTTGGGCACTACCCTAAAGTCGGTCAACCTGGAGAGCTGGGCAAGGATTACCACAGTTTGTGAATTGTCATCTGCACTGCTTCCCAGCTCCAGGGTTGCATGCTGTTCCCTGAAGATGCTGCAAGTACATTAAAGCAGCAGCACTCAAGTACACTCAACCGCATGTACATTTCTCTTTTCCCTTGGGAAAGGCCAGTGGGTGGAAGACGGATGTCAGCTGGAAAGAAGGTGGCAGGAGAATGATAGGCAGGGAGTGGGCAACTAAATTTTTTGACATAGCTGCCAAGCCAGCCCAAAATTGTAGATCAGATGCAAATATGTCACTTATTCACTGAATACCATAGTCTGCCTGCCCAATTTCTTATGCATAGTGGTACAAAACACTGCCCTGAGAATGAATAGTAGCAAGTTACTTTTAAATGCCATTAATGGAACAAAGCCACGTTTAGCTCAAACCACAGCTCATGAACCCACTTTTAACAATGGTTCGTGCCAAGCCAGTTTGCAACCATGGTTAGAAACATATTTGCAAATTGCAGTATGATACAGTACAGATGTAACATGGGTTAGCTTTGAAAATGAAAGGGAGAGGAAAATTCACATCCAAGAGGAGAAAGTTGTGTCTGAACCTATGGGGCACGCATGAATTCTTAAACCATTATGAATGATTAAGAAGGATTATGAATGCACCAGCCAAAGTGTTTAACACAAAGCTATTTTTGTCAGCTTTTTTAAAGAAAACAATGGTTGCGCATGGAGACAGATGCAACTGGAAGTACCAGTGTATCCGTTCCTCGAAAACAAACTAAAGAAAATCTTCACAACACTAAACAGGTTCACACAATCCATGCTTAAAGTATGGAAGGAGAAAGCAGGTAAAGTGCCCCCAACCCGATTAATCCCCCTGGCCACCACCCACTATTCCACCATGCAGCCCACAGCTTCCAAACAAAAACATGGCAAGTCAAAGGTTTACACAGCCTAACAGACTTCTACAAAAATGACAAACCCATACTAACACAAAAAATAAAAGACAAACTAGGGGAAACTAGGTGTCCCCTAGTTTGTATACCCTAGCTGACCCAACACCAACTGCACACCTTCTTAAATAACCCAGCAGTCAAAGGACTCTGAACACCTTCGATAAACGTCTAACAACATAGGGACATAGCAAGGGGATGAAATCCACAATATACAAACTACTACTCAAGACGCTACAAAACTGTGTTCAAAACTCTGTTTAAACTATGGTCTAAACCACCTTTTAAGTCCATCTCAACCAAAAGAAGAGAACTGACTTTGAAACTAATTTATAGCTGGTACCTAACCTCGGGATGTGGGTGGCGCTGTGGGTTAAACCACAGAGCCTAGGGCTTGCTGATCAGAAGGTCGGCGGTTCGAATCCCCGCGACGGGGTGAACTCTCGTTGTTCGGTCCCTACCGGTAAATGCTGGAGAGACTGCACCACTACAGCCACATACCTCTGAAAACAGAGACATTGCATGTACCCTTGTTAACTAAGAAAATCCTTTAATAAAAACAAATTTTAAAAGGCAATGTAATGGTGTGTTCTGTAAGACACTAGAACTAGTTTTGTTCATGAGGCTAAAATAGTTTAACTGCACATCTGTCAGTATGAATGGCCTGTAATTCACAGATGCAACATGTGTTCCAACAGTTCACTTACAAGATTGCATACTGCATAAACAAATTTCCTACAATAAAAAAGTCCATGAGTTCAGTCTTAATACTATTCTACCTAGAAAGAGATTTTTCCTCCTATCCTTATCCAAATTTCCATAAATCAAAATTAATCTTACCTGAGAAAACAAAGTATAATTCTGGTGACCTTATTATATAATGCAATTTCTGTTATTTTGAAACAATTCTGCAACAAAGAATAAAGCTAGTACAGAATCTCCTTTTCTCTCAGTAGGTTTTTGTATTTTAGGACCAGAGATACAAAACAAAACAAAATCCCAAATACTAGGGAACTGGAGGTAGTCCTTCACAGGACTAGATCTATTTTACAAAATCTTCCCTAAATCCTGGATAAACAGCATTCATTTCCTTTGAACTCCTATTTATGCAAAGGCAAATTAGTCACTCTTCCAAAAGATAAGCCTCCCTAAAACCGGCAAGCTGTTTTCCATGCATTACCAGATGATAGTAGCACAAAGCTGTATTTAGCTACAGCCCTATCTCATATCATTAGTCAAAGGGGTTCTAAGTGAAACCGTGCTCATACCTCATTGCATGATATAAAATGTGCTTGTGGATTAAATTCGCCTGTGAGCTGCTCCTCTATTATGTATATCATTTGAGAATGCTATTATCCTGTTATCTCCATCCTTACATCTTGCACTTTTAGAAATACTCTGGTTGCTTCCAGATGAACTGTTTATTGAGCATTTATCCTTATTAATATGCACAAAGATCGTGGGGAGGTTAGAAGATGTTGGCTACTTATCGAGCATTCATTTTGATTAATATACGGGGAAGTTACATGACATCAAGCAATCATCATTCTCCACTTTCCGGTGCATCAAATCACTTTCCTTATTGTGAAATGTCTGATTTGGGGGAAAGAGTGGGTTTGTTGTGCAAGAGTCCTCATCAACTTGAATTGCATAACTTGGATTTGCCAGTGTGTGAAATAATAGCAACAGTTTAAAAAGCTCCATAAGACTACCATATGCGCTGCTACCCACAAGTAGAGCTCCTACGAGTATAATCATCCCCATTTTTTTCTGTGGGGAAGACAGCTCCACTCAAGAGAGTGAGGACATCTTCGCAGGCTGCAGCACTCCATATTTGCTTTGGAGCACCACTCCTCAATCACATGGTCAGTTTCCTTGGCATTACACCTCCAAATGTGTGGCTAAATTGGCCTCTGCTCAGGGATAAACTATGCAATGTTAAATGTGTGTCTGACTTAAACTCCTCTTAAAATGTACTAACCATCCACTGGGGAGCGGACTGAAAATCACTGGGATCACAGCAGATGTGGAGCATTCTCCAGATGTGCTCTCTGCATTAAGGGAAAGCTCCCAAAGTGCCGATGGGAACTTTACAGGTTTTCACGAAATTATTTCCATTGTAACTGCAAGGCAGAAAATGGGTAAAGTCTCCCTCCACATCTCCTCCATCCCAATATTTATCAGCCATCCAGACAGCTGCTAATAGCATTTTTAAAAAAATCTGTATGTTAAAGGCAAAGACTGCCATATCTAGTTTGCCCCTCAGAAAATTAAACATGCACAGCAAAGTGTTGAAGAAGCATTGCAAGTTGGTTCAGAGTAAGGGTGGCTTACATATCGGACAGAAGAGGGTCCGGAGAGAGATAGATAGATAGATAGATATATGAGTGATGGGAGACCCTAAAAGTTAAGCTGTCAGTAATCTTACAGAAATATATTTGGGTGAAAATATTTAGTACTCAGACAATTTCTATAAATAACTATCACAGTGTTGTCTAATGGTAGCGAAATAAGTTCAAAGCAAGATGAAAGAAAGGTGGGTTTTGCAGACTGTTGGGGGACATGTGTGTAAGAACAAAAAACTTATTGGTCACATATTCTGCTAATAATATAACAACATACTTAAGCTCATATTTCTCCAAACCAAAAATTAAGTTTAATAACACATTGTGTTCAGTGGGGCCTACTCCCTTGTGAGTGTGTTTAGGATTATGCCTAAAGGTTTTCTGAAACAACTATTCCTGAAAGAAAAGGGCACTGTTACAGCTATACTTCTATTTGCAACATACTGTACTGGAAAACTAAGGAGACAATTTCTTTTTCCATCTCTGAAAGAATGGTATAGAAAATTATGGGGCAAAGAAATCATGAATAAAATTACATAATATATTTTTGTGTTAGAGAAGAGAAACAAAATTGATGTGTTTGGAGAAGAATGGAAATGGCTTAGAAACTGCGGGAATGCTGAACGAAGTATTATTAAGCAAAATCCTTTCCCTTATTATAAGGTTTCTCCTTTAGTGTCCTTATGTTTGTGTTTTAATGATTGTTTTCCTATTTAAATTTGAGATGTGTATGAATACATCCTTTTAGAAACTTTTGGCTTTCTCAGAAACATAATAAATAAAGTAATGGGATGCATGACAATTGCTTTTAAAATAATACTGTGGATAGACAGCCTGTATTATGGTACATAGTGATACACAGAAGGCAGTAAATCATGTGCCAATACTGGCAGATATTACAGTTGTCTGGCTAACATTTTATTATGTTGTTCTTCATAAGCCCACAGAGGCAAGTATAATGGCTGAAATCTGTTATTTAATAATGTGTTCAATTGTGTTGACTGGCAGTCCTTTCAGCAACCTAAAAGGGGCTTGCATTAACAACGGACTGTTATGTTTTCATTATTTACAATAAAATAGGCTTGTAGTCAGCCACTTGCCTTTTTGTCTCATGGTGACTAACGGTTGACTCCAAGGTCCCAGCTGAATCTTCATTGCTTTGAAGTTATAACCACAAATACAGCTGCCATAGCTCTTAACCATATTTTCACTAGGCTATGCTCACGTTTCCAGTCTCAATACCTGTATCTTGAAAGGTAGAAGACAGCCCCATACTTTAAGGCAAGTATAGGGAACCTGTAACTTACTATCCAGATGTTGATGGACTAGAACTACAGTTGTCCCTGACTGGCTGAGGCTCATGGGAGCTGGTATTCAACAGCATATGGAGGGCTATAGGTTCCCTATCTCTGAGAAACACCAAAGCTAAGATCATATGCACACTTACCTATGAGCAAGTCCCACCTAGAAGTCAGTCATTGTATTGCCAATACAGTGGTACCTCGGGTTACATACGCTTCAGGTTACATACGCTTCAGCTTACAGACTCCACTAACCCAGAAATATTACCTCGGGTTAAGAACTTTGCTTCAGGGTGAGAACAGAAATCGCGCAGCGGCAGGCCCCATTCGCTAAAGTGGTGCTTCAGGTTAAGAACAGTTTTAGGTTAACAACGGACCTCCGGAACGAATTAAGGATGTAACCAGAGGTAGCACTGTACAAGTTGGAGCCTGGATATCTGAAGGAGCATTTGCTTCCATACATACCTACTTGTTTGTTAAGATCATCAAAGGAGGCTCTCCTAATGGTGTCACCACTGGCTGTGGCACAGAATGCGGCAACCTAAGCAAGGGCCTTTCTTGTGGTTGTATCCGGTCCACAGAACTCCCTCTGCCTTGAAATATGCTTGGTGCAGATTGTGCTGGATTTCAACACCTGCTTCAGACTTAGCTCTTTACCTCAACCTTTGCTATTATTATTATTATTATTATTATTTCATTTTAATAACTGCTTGCTACATAAGGACTTCCTAAGCAACTTGCAAAATTTTAAGAGCATAAACATAAAGCAGAGCATAAAATAAGGAAAAGTAACAATACATAACAATTAAAGAACCCTATATTCCATAAATCAGACCCAGCTTGAAATAGCATTTATTGCTGGCTGCAGTGGGTATAATTTTATAATGGTTTTAATATGTATTTTATCCTATTGTATTTTGTGAACCGCTCTGGTTTTACTTAGCTGAAGACCAATATATAAATAGCTTTAAATAAACTAACTCATTCTTTGGGACTTCCTTCTGAGTACATATACACAGGATTGCACTTAAAATCAAACTACGGTACATTTATCAATCCCACTGACAGTCAATAAAAATTTCAGAAGAGTCAAATGAAAAGTTTTTTATAGGACAAGATAGCAATGAATCTCATGTAAACCACTGAAGGAGGAAAATTATTTCACTTTAACACCATTTTTAACACTGCAGCACCATTTATTTGCAACAACATGTAAGAAATAGAGTGATCTCTCCTTGATTGAACAACTTCCTCTTAGCAAACTAAGAGGAATACACTTGTAGCTTTTTGAGTTTACACTATAGAATAATGTTACCATTTGAAGAGAGTTGCATTAATGTAACCTCAGGGATACATATCTCAGAGTACCATATGGCCAAATCAGTAATTACCACAGTATTATTACATTCATTAAGCAATAACAGCATGCTCAAGAAGCTGAGGCCTAACCCACAGTGGTAAGGAAGAACTTCCTGGCATGTACTCCCTCAGGATGTGGTGGACTCTCCTTCATTTCAGGTTTTTCAACAGAGGCTGGATGGCCATCCATTAGGGATTCTTTAGTTGTGATTCCTGCATTGCAGGGGGTTGGACTAAATGACCCTTGGGGTCCCTTCCAACTCTTCAGTTCTATAATTCTATGATTATACTGTACCTTTGGGACACAGGTGGCGCTGTGGGTTAAACCCTGAGCCTAGGGCTTGCTGATCAGAAGGTTGGCGGTTTGAATCCCCGCAATGAGGGGATGAGCTCCCGTTGCTCGGTCCCTGCTCCTGCCCACCTAGCAGTTCGAAAGCACGTCAAAGTGCAAGTAGATAAATAGGTACCTCTCCAGAGGGAAGGTAAATGGCGTTTCCATGCGCTGCTCTGGTTTGCCAGAAGCGGCTTAGTCATGCTGGCCACATGACCCGGAAGCTGTCTGCGGACAAACACCAGCTGCCTCGGCCAATAAAGCGAGATGAGCGCTGCAACCCCAGAGTCAGCCACGACTGGACCTAATGGTCAGGGATCCCTTTACCTTTACTGTACCTTTACTAACCACTTAATAACTTTCCACAGCCATACCTACAACAATTGCCCTAAAACGTCACAGCATTCCCCCCCCCCCCCAGTATTATATAAGGAAGGCTGAGGGAAGGATTCCCTCACCCCCTTTTATTTCAATATATCATAAAGCAACAAACAAATAGTCTCATTAAATCCTCCACTAGAAGCACCCTGCATGGAAGGGCAAGGGGGGAAAACCAAAGGGCACCCTTCTTTTCCACAACTACCAAGAGGCCTTGCACTCAGAAATGCAGTTTTTAGTGGTAGGCCTAAAATCCTAAATACACATCCCTTCCCAAAGCTCATTATGCGAGAGCGCTTCATTCTCCAAATCCTCCCTAATACGCCTTTTGCCAAAACCCTAAAGGGGGGTATGCGAATCACAAACACACACCCAGCTACATTAGCTCAGGTATTTAAGGGCAGAGTCACTCCCTCTCCCCTCGCCCCCGCCTTGCCCTCTGGCACAGTTACAGCGCCTTGAATTGCTGCATGGCGGGCAAAACATCCAACAGCTGCAGCGTTTCCCTCCCACCCCTAGAGAGAAAACTTCCCCTGGTGAACTTCCACCTGGTCAAGGGGCTCTTGAGGCACAGAAACGCCACAAGGGAAGACCAAGCAGCAGCAACTGGAGGCCGCAGAGGTCCCCTCCCAGGTCTCGAGGACCGTGCCAAAGGGCGCAGCTGTGGGGACGTCCCTGGGGAGGGACCCCTATGCCTGCTCCCTCCTCCACAGGAAGGGCGCACCTTCGCCCAGGCCCACAAAGACAGGGCCCGCGCTCCTACGGGCAAGCTGGCTCAGTTGCTAGGCAACCACTCGGGGCTGCAGCGAGCGCGCGGAGAGGGAATCGGAATTACCTTCCTTAATCGACCCGGCAGCATCCGTAGCCGGACCGCGGCTCCACAGCCTCGCGCATAGCGTTCTTGGGCGTCTTGACACGTCACACTCAGCAGCGCTCGCTTGTAGAATGCGACGTCACATGACGCCGCGTAAAAGTCGCCATTGCTCTGCGGGGGTAAGGAGGAGGAAGGCGTTGCTTAAGCCGCCATTGCTTTGTGGGGATATATGGCTGCGGGAGCAGCCATTGGTCTACGCAGTCGCGGGTGTGGTCTGAATCTGCCTATGGGAATAATGGTGGAACGGCGCAATACTGCTCAGAGGTAAAGACCTACTGAATTCAGCGGGGCTTGCTCCCAAGTAAGTGGTGCCGCTGGCTAATTAAATTGCCGAATACCTTGGGGGAAAAAACCCGCCCGAGAATTTGTATAATCCAAACCATGATTTTGGGAGGTTGAAATAAAAACGGTACATCTGGATTTGAAACTAGGAGGGATATTAATTGGTTATAATCGTATTGTCTTTATTAGGGACTAGCGCCTTTTGAGATTTCGGGGTTTACATGGCTATTGTAAATCGAAAGATCCCAAAAGAAATAAATAAACTACTGTACACAGTTAACTGGATATTGATTAGTACTTTCTAAAATAGTAAAATATAATTTGAGGTGTTGCACAGTAGTATATGGATTTTTTTAAAAAATAATAATAATTGTAATTGACCTAGCATACGAGCAGATAATGTCATTTTAATAAACTTTCATGCCCACACAAATGCTTTTAAACCAAGAGCTAAATCCTTAACATCTTAATTATCTTTGAATAATCAACACTGGTGGAAATGAGCCAAGATGGTTCCGTTCATAAACTTCCTGCAATATATGTAATGATATGTCTTCCTCCAACACTGTGTTCTCAAAATATTGTCTGTGGAAATGAGGGAAAGTGGCCTTTAAAGGTATGCTCGGATCCCAACCTGAACTGAAGAATGCACATCTACAGTATTCCTTCATTCTAAGTGTGTGGAGACAGGAAAGGAAAGGTATTCTGTATATGTCCAGAATTACTCACTATATTTATATCTGTGGCTATACATGGACGAGTCTGAGGGCTAAGGCTATGGGGCCAAAGCCAATACTATCTGCAATAAATTATTTCCCCCTACACCACTGCAATGATAGTCCTTTCAGTACTGTTTGATAGTTATTATATTAGCTTTATGATTGCTGAGCCTAATATATAAACCACAGGCACAATTTTATTTTATTTTTAAAACATGACTTAGAAACTTTTCTTTATTAAATCCGAGTGGTCTCTCCACAAATCTAAAAGCCTAACAGTCTGGTTAAGGGTTTATGGAGAGCATTAGGATGCCTAAAGGCATAGTAAAAAACTGGTGTCATAGCAAATATTTCCCATTGGGGTGTGTCTGCTTTCTTTTTATGTTGGGATGCTATGGACAGACATAAAGGTAAAGGTAAAGGGACCCCTGAACATTAGGTCTAGTCGCGGATGGGTTGCGGCACTCATCGCACTTTATTGGCTGAGGGAGCCGGTGTACAGCTTCCAGGTCATGTGGCCAGCATGACTAAGCCGCTTCTGGCGAACCAGAGCAATGCACAGAAACACCATTTACCTTCCCGCCGGAGCGGTACCTGTTTATCTACTTGCACTTTGATGTGACTCTTCACTTGCTTTTTTGTTTTTGTAAAGCCACTCTTTTTTTAAAAAGCTGAAAATTTTAAAAGGGGAATAAGTGGCCTCACGATGTTGTAAGCAGCTAGCCAACCCAACACAGCCAGGTTCAGCTACAAACAGGATGGTTTTTCTTAAGGAAAAGGTGAACAAAAACTGATGAATACTCATCCACAGTGGACTCACAACTCAAGTTACAGGTATCTGGATGCACACTTAGGCTGCAATCCTAAATGCACTTCAGTCCCACTGAACATTCTAGGACTTACTTCCAAGTAAGCATCAATAGGGATGTCAGTAGATGACCCATTCCCACCTGCTTTTTAACCTTTTTGTGATAATTTCCGAAAGTAAAATTCAAAGACAGTGGTAGGATTTCCCTATATAATACACTGGGAGAACAGAAAAACCTAAGGATGAGATGTATGACAATACTTTTATTCAAATATTTTCAATATGTACCTGTTTGTTTTGATTTTCTGTACATGTTTGTATTGCTTTCAAAGCACCAAGGTTGATGTGTGCTGTGGCTCACCAAGAAGAAGAGTGTACAACCTGCAGAAAAATTGACAAACTGTCAGGTTCCTGTTGGGGAGGAGGAAGGGGCAGCCTTGCCAGCATTTGCCATCTTTTAAGAATAAAAACTACATATGTGCTGCTATGATAAGAGTGATATAGTAGGTGAGTGCTCAACATTATACTACAAAAGTCCCCCTGAAAGAAAGAGAATCTTTAATATGCATGTGTAGCTAAGGCAATTAGCTCATGTAAACACATCATCATGTATGTCGTGATTTTGTACGTCTTTTAAAAGTCGAAAAGCATATAATTATGCTAAATTGTGTTTCTGCTGTTTAAACATGCTTTTTATATATAACAAGTATGTTTAAAGTAATATTCCTCCAAAATGTCTGAAAAAAGTATGCAACATAATTTTGCATACAGAAGAGGAACCACAAGAAAATAATCAGTCCATTGATATCTATATTTTTTTAAGTATCATGACAAACTCATTATTTTATGGTGTATAATCTGTTATTGTCAAACATTGAAACTGCTGCTCAGCACCACTGAAGTCAGTGGGAAATTTGCCAGCAGCATCAATGTATAGCAGCTTCTATATAACCCAAGCAACCAGATATTTTAGTGTGTTAAATGTGCCAAATATATCCAGAATTAATTATTTGGCAACAGCCTCACAGGTGAACTATGCAGACATTTTTATTCTGAATGGAACAGATCTGACCAAAGATCACAGTTAAAATGGAAACTGTTTTACCACCAATTATGATTGTTGTGAATTCCTCATCTCTAATATGGAGCTATTTGCTTGTTTGTAAATGCCTAGAATAATTTTTCTTTAAACATTATATAAACTTCATATATAATCATCTTTGGAAGAGAAGTCTGAGAATCTGTACTAATTACAGTGGTGTTTTTTCTTATACAGACAGTTGTCCTTGGGGAGTGGAGCTCGACCACCTAATACATCTCACAAAGGCCGACAAACAATCTTCAGATCTCAGTAACTCCCCATCATAACTGAGCTGCACTAGATTTGAACTGACAACTTTGAAGAAGGATTCTCCATATCCAATTAGCCAGGTCCCTGATGAGCTCAATGTTTATCTGAAAGCTCTGCCTTCTGAAGTGTGATGAGAGGATTCTTCCCTCCCATCTTCAGCTGGGTTGCAACTTGCCTGCACTCCCTTCTATCAAATAAAACTTTTATTCCATTACTCCTCATCTCATTTCTGGCCTTCTTGTTCTCACAGGAGACCATTGCCTGCTTAATTTCTCCCTCCATCTAAATCAGTGTTTGGCCATGTAATTGAATATATTTAATTGTAGAAGGAATTTTGGCTATTTGCTGATTATATTAAAAGGACTGAGAGCTACATTCAACTCATCAAGCTAGGCTGAGCTAGAGTTGAACCCTGGGGACCCCCTGATGGCTGTCAACAACACAGAAAAAGCCCTTCAAGGTTCTGCTTCCTGCCCTGTTACGAAAGAGGAAGGCAGCTGACATTAGGCTGGACTGGCAGGGAAACAAGTCTCAACGGGCTGGCTTTCCTCCCTCAAGGGCTGGCAGCAGGAATGGAGGGAAAAGGCCAGTCACGTGTCCATAGAAGAATGGAATAAAACTCCCTGTTACTAAGCTATTGAGGCTCTCTTCCCTTCTTCCTCACAAGTCTCCTGCCTTCACCTAGAGCCAATGTAGTGCCCTCCAGGTGTTGTCAGATTCTAGCCCCATCACTCTGAACCATTAGGCTGTGCTGTCTAAGGCTGATGTGAGTTGGAGTTCATAGGGCTACAACAGGCATAGGTAAACTTGGCCCTCCAGATGTTTTGGGACTACAACTCCCATCATCCCTAGCTAACAGGACCAGAGAACTCAGACCTTCTATTCCCCTTTCAGCACCCTTAACACTTCCCAGGATCCTTTGGGAAAAGCCATGACTGCTTAAAGAGGTACAATACTATTTTCTATATATGGTGTGGATGTGGCCCTAGAGTCTCACAGTAATGAGAGAAGACAGGCATTTTGATTGTAAAATAATTATAATTTTTAAAAATGAAACACTGACAGGTAAACTTTCATAGCACGTGACAAAGAAAACAGGAAAGGCCAGGGGTGAAATTCAACACTGAGCTCTTCCAAGCGTTCAATTTGTCCAAGCATTTCAGCTTGCCAAACAGAACAATACCCCTTTGTCCCATGTTCTGCTTTGGGAGCTTTCCTGATGCCCTACAAGCTAATTTTGGGGGGTGCAGGTGGGGTGCAAGGGAGGAAAGGGAAGGCCCGGCTGAGCAAGTGGGTGTTCTCATGCAAAGCTTCTACTATTTACAGGACTGGTGAGGTGAATCCTACCCATGGTCTCTTTTTATTTCCTTTTAGAAAAGTGGTACTATTTTATTACCCACTCAGACTTTAAAAAAAAAAAAAGTTTAAAAAAAATACAAAATCATTTATGCACATAGGATCTTTGTCAAATGAGAAAGGGAGAAGAGGAATAGCTAAAAAGAAACTGGACAAATGATGGAACTAGTTCCTTGAACTAGAGAGAGTAGGAGTGGGGAAAGAGTACCCAAATCTAATAAACAAATTTAAGTGTCCTTTGAATCTCCTCACCTTTAGTCCCTTCTTCAAAACCATTTGGCTGAGCTAATGATATCTACCCCCCAGGGTCTTCCCTTCTGAGTGCATTTCAAAAATTTGTTATAAGGTTAAATACAGTTGTAGAGTGCAATAATAACTATGATGGAGAAAGAAACTAAGAAGTGCTGGCAAGGGAGAAAAATTGTTTTCACATGAGACTGGAAATGAGATAGAGAGTTGATGAGGCGGAGAAGTGGCCACCACAGATGATAAGAATGTCAGCTGTGGTGAGACTGTGTGAAGGAGACTCTGTAGCAAATGAACTCTGGGAGTAAACAGAAGTGAAGTCTATGGTAGTGGAGAATATAGAATTAAGCCCTGTAATAAATCTGAGAACCTTGCAGCTGGTTTAGAGAAAGCTGACATCCAGCCTTTCATTTTCCTCTTGTGCAATGTAAGGGCTAGGCAAAAGATAATTTTCCTATAAATTAATACAATAAAATGACCTACATTCATCAACAGTCCCATTTATGCTTATGACTTTACTTCTTTCAGTGCATATGAATGTGTGTGAATAAAAAGACTCGTCAGGGGAAACCATTCCTATTATAGATAAAATTATGTAAGCTGGGTTGTGTGTATTCCATTCTTGCAAACTTCAAATTCTGCTGAAAGGTAATCCAAATTCTGCACTAACAGCATGATCTGCATCCTCTCTATACATGAAGCAAATTCACCCATTTTTCTCATTTGGTGCAGCTTATATTCCCCATAAAAGTGCCAAAGTGCAAAAATCTGGCACTTTCCCATGAAATATTTCATGCTGCTGCCACCACCCCTCCATTCCTGCCATGTCTCCATCTTCGGTATCAACAAATACTCAAGTAAGCCTACGTACCCAAATGCCCCATAGCAAATGAAATTATGCTGTTTCATGACAGGTGACATGCTGATATTTTCAAACATTAATAATTAAACCATATGACATTAACCAGCCATGGAAAGTGACACCAGTGCTACCCTGTGCCTACATACAGGCGAAAAATGTACAAATGTTTCAACTGGGGTTCCAATATATATATGTGTGCCATGAGCATCTGCTTACCAATTGGCTGCTCATTGTGTCTCCCAAATGTGCTGTACTGTGTATTTGCAATCTCTGATTTAGCATCAATGTCGTAACAACACATCTCTATGTATTTATCAGGAATGCATGTGGTAGTGTGGAATGGTGAACCATGGCAATTGAACATTTTTACTTGAAATGCTGAATTTTACTTTTACTGTAATGTATTAACATGATTTTAAATTTTCATCAAATGTACCTGTAATTTTGTTTTACTACTTAATAATGACATGCAAGACAATAATCACAATATGAGCAACCCGCAGATGAATCACAATTGCCTAAGAACCAACCAGAGGTGCCAACTTCAATAAAATATTGGGCGGGGCTAGGTTAGCCCCACCCTGCATTATTGATCACAAGCACACCATTTGAATGGCAGTGCCCATCAACTTTGAGGGGCCCAGACCCCTCAAATATTTTATTGGGGAGGGGGCGGAGGGACCTCAGCCCCTAGGAGTTGGTTCCTATGCTAAGCACAAATCCTGTGAAGCTATGAAGAAAGATGTCTGCACTGTAAACACATAGCAGCAACATAGTTACTGAACCAAATACTGCAGAAAGACACTATATATCCTCATTGGTTTTCAAATAATTAAAGACCACTGTCTACCCATTATTTCCACTCACAATTTCCAATTTATTTCCATCGTGATTTCTTTTCATGACTGTCAGCCTTGTTACTATTAGAATTGCTGGCTGGCAGGTTTTTAAACGCTCAGTCCCTGATGATTTTAAATGGACTATTCCTTAGAGCCAATAATTTTTAAAAGACAGTAATCCTTGTTATAGTGTTTAGGAATAATATTCTCCACATCAAAGCACCAGGTAGGACCTGAGAACATCCAATGACCTTTTCAATTGTATGAATCTGTTCTCTGTTAAGGAGTTGTTGTCACTCCCTGGAAAAGTGGAGATGACAGGAAGAGTCACTGGATAGCAACTGAACAGGGGTTGGTTAGAATGACATTTTTATTACTACAGTTTTATCCTGTTCTTCCTCTAAGGAAATTCAGACAGCATGCAGGGTCAGCACCTCACCACCAAGGCAGGTCACCAGGTCAGCTTCAAGGCCAAGTGGGACTTTGAATTAACTACTGCACCACACTGACTCTTATTGTAAACACTTGGTTCTTTAGTGTATCAGCAGAAAAATAAGGATACAGTGGTGCCTCGCAAGACGAAATTAATCCGTTCCGCGAGTGTCTTCGTCTAGCGGTTTTTTCGTCTTGCAAAGCAACCCTATTAGCGGATTAGCGGATTAGCGCTATTAGCGGTTTAGCGGCTATTAAAGGCTTAGCGGCTTAGCGGCTTAGCTGCTAAAAGGCTATTAGCGGCTTAGCGGCTTAAAAAAGGGG